CCTTCTGTGTACAGTGAAGAGACATGCTGTAAATAGGAATCAATACATTTAAAATCATGCTTTAAGTACAAAAATGCTTTTCTATTACCAAAAGGTATTTACTTTACCATATATCTTCTGCCCTAGGAAGAGACTGCCTGGATTGTTATATTTCAACATATGAAATAACCGCCTCACTTCTATTTCACAGCATCCTGCACCATTTTATTCTCAGTGGCTTTTGTTTATTTCAAAGTAGCAGCAGAGGAAACATCATCTAATACCTAGATTTACTACAGATTTTAGAATATAGCCAGCTCCTTCCTGAGCTCTCAGGACTGTCACAATTTCAGCCATTTCAAGAAAGGAAAAAGAAGGGAGCCTTCTTATAATCTTTTTTCAAAACCTCTGAATACTTCCAAGGTTAGCACCCTTCAGAAATCTGTATGAAGTCCTTACTGCTGCTTAAATAATTGACTGAACTTGAACTACCTGCACAGGACAATAGGAATGTAGTCTAGAGCACAGCATAAACTACAGAGCCTTATATCTAGGAAGGTCTTTATAAATCATCTTAGCCCTAGTCCAGACCCCATCGTTTCATAGTTACGGAAGCTATAGGCTCCACATGAATGGAGAGAGTGGAGGGACCCGAGGAGGATGCTGGCTCACCGAGAGTTTCAGTTGAGCTAATGACATATCACCTGGTTTTCAAGCAAGCCTTGATACTTGCACATGATCATCTGGCAAAGATCTGCAAAACAGATATGCATCATCCATCCTAATTGTCACTAAGCACTGTGACTTAGGTGCCCTTTGTCAGTATTCAACCCTGCTGCAAAATCCAACAGTGATGACCACATCTTTCTTCTTAAAGCAACACATTTTCCTCTACACAGGAATCACAATTTATGTCTATATAGATAAGCGGTTGGTATATAAATAATGTCCATCTCTCCATCTAAGCCATGAGTTCCAAGATGGCAAGAACCATATCTATCTTGCTCACCATTGCATTCTCCACGACTGCAGAAATGGATTTATTAAATAAATATGTGTCCAACAAATAGATGATGCCTGTCCTCTCTTGGCACTTTCATGCTGTGCTCTTCTAATTTTCCTTCCACATCTCTGATTTTTCTCTTTTGTAATCTTCATTTTCCACAGCTTTACCTTTGTCCCTTTGTGTGAACTTGGGCAAATCAAGCCACTCACCCTATCATAAAATGACGCAGTTTGTTCACTCATAAAATGATGGCACTCCATCTCCTTCACACACATATATATATAGTCCTACGTTTCCCAGCTAACATCGGCTATTATTCAGTCAAATTTTCCACCTGTCTTGACAAACACTTCTCACATACTGTATTTTATCATAAACGATTGGCCTCTGTCCAAACTGTCATTCTCATTCCCCAACTATTCATGTTCAGTTTATGTGATCTCAAAGCTCAGCTCAAATGTAACTTCCAGGAAGTTGTCTTGGATCTCCTTAAAGTCCTTTGCCTCTCGTTAATGGTATGGATCTCATCCTCCTAGATCTATAATTGTTTTTCTATTTCTTCTCCTTCCTACTTCACCTTCATTCATTTAACAAATACTAAGTTTTAAGAAAAAAATTTTGGCAACCACAACATCTGAATAATATCGTGGTATAATGATGGTAAGTTCTCCACTGAGTGAGATATTGAATCTGAGAGTGAAAGATCACCTGACAGAGGTAATTTAGAAATTATAGCTGGACCTCATTTGGGCCTCTTCAATCAGATAGGCAAGTGGCCTAGATCAGCGCTGCTCGTGGTGTGGTCTGCAGACCAGTCTCTAGCTACAAGCTTTTATTACCAAGCAGTAAGACCCAAGTGAATAAATTGAAAGTAAGAACTTAGAAGATGTTACAGCAATTTGAAAAATAACTTTGTGTCTGTCATTTCCACCAATAAAAAGGTGGGGATGTGCTTTGTATGTCTTTTTTTTCATCCTCTAGTAAATTTGTAAATATATTTCACTGAAGTAAGTCTGTCACAACTGGGAGTCGGGGAACTGATCCTTCGCCAAGACAGTTTGACAGGCACTAGGCTAGCGCTGTGCTGCTTGAAGCGTCATTGTGCCACCACGGCAGTTTGAGGGTCATTTGGCATCTTGGTAAAGTGTGAATGCTCTGCTCCTACCCTAGACCCCCAAGTCAGAACAAGCATTTTACCAATATCCCAAGGGCTACGTGTGCACACTGAGGATTGAGTGGCACTGTCTCCAATGATTTCTAAAGCCCAGTATAACCCTGAGACTTTCTGACTGACTTCAGATAATTTCAGAACTGCAGACCCTTGAGGGTACAGTCTGCCTCACCATTATAGCGATGGAAAAGCTGAGGCTTGTGGAAGGGAAGTCAAGTGTCCAAGGTAGTGCCAGGAATCAAAGCAGGTTTTCTCGCCCACCCAAGCTGACACCCAGCGTACCCCCTTGGCTCCAGGACACTGCCTGCTCTCTCCCTCACCGCCCAGTCCCACTGTGGCCCACTCTCTCCGTGACGCCGCTGTTTCTGAAATACTTTCTGATGAAACAGGTTTTTCTTCTACTAACCATGTCCTTATGAACCTTGAGTCCCCCTACTTTTTCTTTATCATATTGCCTTTCATCACAGCTTCTGAAATCTTCCCACACGCCTGTGGTCTGGCTACCACACGGACATTCTGGGGCATTAGAAGGACTGGCACCAACTGATTCCTGAGCTTTAGGAATACAAAAGGGACCTTCCTTGTTTCCAGGAGTTCAGGTGACATCCCATATCAAGTGCTTCCAAAGAGGAGAGCATACTTTGTCAGGGCTGCTTCAGAAGGCTCAGTAACATCAGTATGTAGCTGTCAAACACGTGGAACATTAGGCCATATTACTAAAACTCTACTCTCCAGAATAAATAAAGGATGATCCTTCACTCTGTGATCTTGTCAGACCTGAGGCTTGAGGAAGGGGGACAGGATTGCTGTCCCCACGTAACTGAAGAACTGTTATTAAGAAAGAGCAAATCTGCTCTAGACAGTCCCAAAGAACCAGTGAGTAGAAGTTACAGGGAGATAAAATTTGGCTTATAATGGAGATTACACTCTGATAATCAGACTTGCACAAAGACACAAAGAGCCACCTAATGAGCTCTCTGTCACTGCAGGGAATTCAGATAGAATTCAGTCAACAAATTGGATGTTTAGGACAAATTCCAGAACTGGGTAGAAAAGTAAAGCTTAATGACTTTTAGATCCTTCCAGATCCAAGCTTCTAGTGTTGTAAAATTTTCAGTACAGGGTGACTCCAAGCTCTGAGGAAATAAAGGCAAAAGCGGTTTCTAAGAGGTATCCATGCCCCTGGGTGCGGGATAGATGTGGCTAAGACGTGGGAAAAGTGAAATTTTCCCTGGGATCATTTCCAAAGGAAATGGCCAGGGGAGGTGCTCTGGGAACCCCCTCCAAGAAGCCCATGTGAAGGTTCCCCTCCCTCAAAAGCCAGCCACCTGCCCACTCCAAGTTCCTGTTACCCTGCATGCAGGCCAGACCACTGCTTTCCAAAAAATCTTACCAAGCAACACCATTCCTAGTGTACCTACGCTTGCCTATTAAAAAAGGGTGCAAAATTCTCTCCAAGGAGTCAGTAGGACTTGATGGTTAAGGCCAGGTGTTCTGGAATCAGATCTCGTGTGTTTTAATTCTCAAATGAGACGTTTATTGCTCTGTAATCCTGAACACATTACTTAACCTCACTGTGCCTCAGTTTCCTCATCATAGACCAAGGATGATAATAATATCTGCTTTCCTAATGTTGATGTAAAACATTCTGTGAAATAATGCACATTAAACCCTCAGCCCAAGATCCAACACATATTAAATACTCAAAAATGTTAGCAATCAGTATGATTGATACTCTAATTACGGTTGCAGGCATGGCAGTGCCGCTAACTCATGAAGCTCCTATCAAGCAGCCACATCCCTTCCCCTATTGGGTCAGAAGGGCCACAGCAGCTTCAGCCAGCCCTTGTGATAGCTCCAGACCATCAGAACCTGTGGACCTCCAATAAGCCCCAACACCCAAGAAGGAATCCTGGCTCCTCACCCTGTTCTCTCCACATCCAACAGCTGCCCCTCCCCCCAATCCCCCTCCCTATGCCACCCACAGCCCCAGAAAAGCAGCAAACTGGGAAGCTTGCTCTCACACACCTTCAGTCAGGTGTTTTCTCCCTCCCAAGGACATCCCCAGACCTAACAGGATGTCCCCCAGTGGGAAGGGACAGAAATCAATGCCTGGGCTAGGTGAGGTGGTCAGCTCAACTACCTGGGATTGAGGTAGGCAATCTTCAGGCTTCCCTCACAGAAGCCAGAAAAGCCTTCCAAGTTTGTGGAGGAACTCGGGCCCAGCCCCACAGCAATCTTAAAGGAAGGGAGGAGGTCTCTACTTGCTTCAAAGGAAGCCGTCAGTTACAACTTTCGGCTCACTTGCCTCTAGGGGAGGGAATGGGGAGATGGAGAAAGGGGCTGCAGGGTCTTTTTCTTTCTTTCTCATTTCCAGCAGTGCGATGCAGCTGCTGAGAAAGAGTTAAAGGAGGGAGGAAGCTCCAGCCATTACCCCATCCTCGCGCCCAGGGCTGTCTGGGGGGTCATGACAGTGCTGTCTGCTCTGGCTAGCGGCCACTCTGTGGCTTTCTGCAGCAGCTGCCCCGGCCCCTAAGCAATTTGCAAGGTCAATGCTGACCTGCTTCCAAAGAGAAAACAATTCACTGACAATGAAGCAAACCGCGAAGACACCACCTCATAGCAACCCCCTTCCCCAAGCCAGGTTTTACCCCAGTGCCTCCCTGCCCAGGTGCCGCCTCCGGGCTTCCACCAGCCCCGCTGGGGAACCGGGGTACCGCCACAGCTGCAGAGCAGGTCTCCCTCCAGACCAACCCAAGGAGACTCTCAGCAGGGGGAAGAGCTGCTACCTAAAGGAGACCTGAGCTTGGGGGAGGGGAAAGAAGCACCATCTAGGTCTCTTACCTAGCGCCACAGTCACCTCCTGAAGCCCGAGGAGAGGAGGAGGAACGGGGTGAAACAAGTTGGAGACTGAGCCCTGACAGAGCTCAGCTTCGCCTCTCCCTGGGTCTCTCTCCGGTCCCCGGTCGGTCTCCGCTTTGCTGCTAGCTTGCGCGCGCTCACGCTCTCCTCTCTCCCGCCCTCTCCCTCTCCCTCCCTCCCTTTCTCTCGCTCTCCCTCTGTCTGTCAGGCCCTCCCTCTCCCCTCCTCCCTCCCGCCGTCCCCTCCTCTTCTCCCCCTTCGCTGGCTTAGGTTGTCCACTGCCTGGTGCTGAGCACGCGGCAATGCTGGGGCTCGGAACACAGCCCCGCAAGGCTTTAGGTCCCTGGTGGTTTCACGAAAGACTAAAGTAGTCTTTTATTCTTTTAGGTGCCAGCACAGAAATAGAGGGAATCTCAGAGAGAAGGGGAGGGGCAGGAGAAGCAAGGGGAAGAGAAAGAGTGCAAAGGGGTGAAGCGAATAAGAGGGAGGATGGAGGAAGTGCGGATTACCTGGGCTTCGGTTGCGGCGCGGTGCTTACTTGCTTCCCCCCTTCTCCCTTACATCCCTATGGGCGTGCCTTTTAACCCAGGCTCCAAAGAAAGCTTTCCCAACCTTGCTTGCTCAGACTCCCTCTCTGAGGAGAACCAAGAGCTAAAAGCCAGACATCCAAGGGTGGTCATTCACACTCCCCTGAGAAGAAAGTGTTCATACCCTAATGACCTAACTCACCTCCACCCAACCCCCAGCCAAGTCCAAGTGTGGACCCAATTCAAAAACTCAGCTCCAGCTTCCCTCTGGGCAAGACAGAAGCAGCAGAGCTGCACTACTTGCCATCTGAACAGTTTGAAGGGAAGATAGGCGCAAGTGTGTGAGCTTGAGTTTGCACAAGGGGAGAGAGGAGAGAGAAGGGAGAAAAGAGATTCATTCAAAATATAGAAGACTTAGATTTTCATTTGGGCAAAAGAATAAAAAGCAACCTAGGGCATAAAAAATCAAAGTACAGTAACAAGGCAATGTAGAGTGGAAATAGATCTAGACTAAGACTAAAATCAAGGCCCAGAGGTTGGAGTCTCGCCTTGGCTGAGTCACTTCTTCACTGTCCCTGGCTCTGCTCAACTGCTCACTGCAAGGAGATGAAAGTAAATGATCTTGCAAGACCCTTCTATATCTAGTAACCTGCGACCTAGAGACATGAAACGTCCAGGTAAAGGACAAGTTGACCCTTAGAAAATGAAAATGCACTGCCAAGTTTCAAAGGCTCTCTCAAAGACAGGTGCCCAAATGGGACTCCAAGTCACATTGACTCAATGTTCCTCTTTTAGTATTTTAGGGGGGATATGAATGTGGGCATATGTGGAAAGAGCCCTTCCTATCAAAGAATTCAGATCCTACTCATATATAACAAATAGCAAAGCACTTTTTAATTAAACCTTCATATTGTGATTTCCAGCCCATGTAGTCAGAGAAACAAAGGGCATCCTATTAAAAGTGAGTTATGTTGTGTCTTTTAACTATACTGGCCTCAATATAATACACTAATTGAGACATAGTAGGCATTTAAAATTTTGCCCCCAGTGTAGCATTTCTACTTGAACTGTCATTGTGGCGTTTTTTCTCCTCCATTCGTAATGCTGTCTAATTGCTGCCCAGTGAGGGAGATGTGGTACAAGTACACAGTTCTTCATGGGATTTATCTGTACCTTGAGTATGCAGAGATGGGGAGGCCAATAAGCTTAGAGTTGCTGAGTTCAAGACCCATAAAAACTAGCATTTCAATGTACAAAGACAAACTTGACTGAAGAAAAAATAAAATTCACACAAAGTCATAGTGAGCAAGGGGTAGAATAAGGATCAACACCCAGACTGCTGATACCATGTAGAACATGTTTGTCTACCATAGCAACACGTAAGTTGTGAATAAAGCATGGCACACTCTTTTCTGCATATGTATGCATTTTCTGTGTCTTTTTATTTGTAGAAATGTCCATTGGGTTTAATGTATTAATAAACTGGCAGAAGAAATGTTATGGAATGGCCTAAGTTGCTGTATTAGCTTCTAGGCTACCATAATTTTGGTAGCTTAAAGCTACAGAAATGTGTGCTGTCACAGTTCCGAAGGCCACAGTATAAAACCAAGGTGCTGGCAGGATCACACTCCTTCCATAGGCTCCAAGGGAGAACCTTTCTTTGTCTTTTCCAGATTTGGGTGGCTCCTCATACTCCTTGTCTGCTACAGAAGCTCTACTCCAATCTCAGCTTCAGTTTTCAAATTGTCTTCTCTGTGTCTCTGGGCACCCAAATCTCCCTCTATCTTCTCTTATGAAAACACCCTAAATCCAGGATGATTTCATCTTGAGAATTTTAAACTAATTATGTCTGCAAAGACTATATCATCTAAATAAGGTCACATCCTGAGGTTATGGACAGACATGAATTTTGGCAGAACTCTATTCGATCCACTACAGTTAATAAACTTTCTTTTTATACTAAACAAACATCTATGATACTATCATTTTAAAATCATAATTATTAACTCATATCAATCATACAGATTAGCAAGGTTCATGCTTGTTTGGATGCCCTCTCCCTAATACTCCATCTTGCCTTCCCTCTTCGCTTCCTTCCTCTTCGCTGGTAGGCTGTCTTCTATTTTCAGGTCCTTATTATGTTCTGTGGGAAAGTGGGGTTATCTTGTTGTTTTGCTTTTGTTTGTTCATTGTAGTTTTCACATATGAAAGATATGCCATATTTGTCTTTCTGCATCTAGCTTATTTCACTTAGCCTGATGATCTCCACTTCCATCTATTTGCCAGAAAATTACGATTTCATGATTCTTTAAGGTAGAATAATGCTACGATGTGTATGTGTGTATAATATTTATTATGTGACAGATATATAGTCTGCCAAATTTTCTTTTCTTTGTCCATGTACATGTTGATGATCACCTAGGCTGGGTCCATACCTTGGCAATTGTGACTATTGTCAAAATAAACATGGGTATGTAGGTAGCTTTTTTATATGCTGACTTCTTTTTCTTTGTGTATATACTCAGGAGTGGTATAGCTGGATCATATGGTAGTTCTACTTTTAGTTTTTTAAGTGTATAAAGGACCCTTTTTCTTAATATCCTCACGTTTTAAAAAAATTGACTGGAGTAAGATTATGAAATCTCAATATAGTTTTGGTCTTAATTTTCTTGATGGCTAAAGAAGTTGAGCATTTTTTATATATTTATTGGTAATTCACATTTCTATTTTTGAGAAGTATTTGTTCAGCTCTTTAGCCCATTTATCGATTGTATTATTTGTTCCTTTTTGTTGACTTTTTCGAGATTTTCTATATTTTGTATATTAACCCTCTGTCAGATGATTAGCTGGCAAAGATTTTCTCCCATTCTGTTTTTGTCTCTTTACTCTGTTGATTATTTCCTTGCTGTATAGAAGCTATTTGATTTGTTGTAATCCCATTTGTTGAATCTTGCTCTTATTTCCTGGGCTATTGAAATCCTTTTCAGAAAATCTTTGACTATGGCAATATCTTGAAGTATTTTTCCTATGTTTTCCTCTAGTATTTTAAAATTTTAGATCTTACCTTAAGCTATTTGATCTATGTCTGAGTTGATTCTTGTGCAGAGTAAGAGATAGCAATCTAATTTCAATCTTGTGTATGTGGATACCCAGTTTTTCCAGGACCACTTGTTTAGAGACTATCTTTCCCCCAACATGTGTTTTTGGCATGTTTGTTGAGATTTAGGTGGTTGTAGCTTCATGGGTTTATTTCTGGGCCCTCTATTCTATTCCACTGATCTACATGTCTGTTTTTAGCCCAATACCATGCTGTTTTGTTACTATGACTCTTTAGTATATTTTTAAATTGAATACTGTAATACCTCCAGCATTGTTCTTTTTGCTCAGGATTGCTTTGGCTATTTGAGGTATTTTGCACTTCCAAATGAATTTTAGGGTTGGTTTTTGTAGTTTTGTGAAGAAGGTCATTAGTATTTGATAGAGATTACATTAAAACTGTAACTTTCTTTGAGCAATATGGCAATTTTAATAATATTAATTCTCGCAATCCATCAACATGGTAAGTCTTTCCAGACTCTAGTGTCTTCTTAAGTTTCATTCTTCAGAGTTCTGGAATTTTTATTATAGATGTCATTCACCTCCTTGGTTAGGTTGATTCCTAGGTAATTTATTTTATTTTTTAAGATATTATAGACAGAATTGTTTTCTTGATTTCTTTCTTAGAAAGATCATTTTAGGTGTATAGAAAAACCTACTTAAAAAAAAAAGAAAAACCTACTGATTTTTGAATGTTGATTTTGTGTCCAGCTACTTTGCTGAATTTATCTTTTCTAAGGGTGTTTTGTTAGAGTCTTTAGGGTCCTATAAATATAGAATTACATAGTTTACAAATGAGGAGACTTTTACTTCTTCCCTTCCTATGTGTATCCCCATTATTTTCTTCTGTTTCTTGATTTTTTTGGCTAAAATTTTAAGTACTATGTTGAATAGGAGTGGAGAGAGTGGGTATCCTTGTCTTTTTCCTGATTTTAGAGAAAATGGTTTCACTTTTTCCCCATTCAGTGTGGTGTTGACTATGGGTTTTTCAAACATACTGGTAGCTTTTATGATGTTGAGGTATGATCCTTCTATACCTAGTTTCTTTGAGGTTTTTTTCATATGCATTGTGTCAAAGGATTCTTCTGCATCTATTGAGATGATCATGTGATATTTATCCTTGATTCTATTTATGTGGTGTACTCCACTTGCTGACTTGCATATGTTGACATATCCTTGCATCCTTGGAATTAAACCAACTCAATCATGGTATATGATCTTTTAAATGTGTTGTTGAATTCAGTATTATTTTATTAAGGATTATTGCATCTAAGTTCATCAAGGACATTGTTCTATAGTTTTCTTTGTGTGTGTGTGTCCTTTTCAGATTTTGGTATCAGAATAATATTGGATTCATAGGGTAAATCTGGAAGAGTTCCTTCACCATTTTATGGTATAGTTTGAGGAACAAAAGTTTTAGTTCTTCTTTAAAAAGTCCAGTAAAATTCAGCAATGGATCCATCCAGTCCTGGACTTTTCTTTGTTGGGAGACTTTATATTACTGCTTTAATCTCATTGCTTGTTACTGATATGTTCAAGGTTTTTAT